TATACTACCACTACACTAAATCTACACTACTAGCATGAAAATAAAGCTATCTAGACTAGGGGAGAGGCACAAACTATCAAGAATAGGCATAAACCATCAAATGAACCAAAATAACATTCATTAAGCATATCATCTTGATAATCTCTAGATCTATAGCATCAATACACATAGACATGCATAAAAAACACTAAATCTAGAGATAAGCACATGAATATCCTACTCTAGCATACAAAGACATATGGGTAGAATAGAATAGTCAATTGGAAGCATTAAACCATACAAACCACGAAATAATCAAGATTTATATATACATGAATATCAAGATGTATCATACAACACTAATCCCTCAATAATACACAAGATTAGAGTATAGAAAGCATGCTTGGGGCTAACTCTAGCCCTAAGAAGATGTCTAGCCACTCATAGTAGTGATGATCCAACCCTCAAGGGCTAACTCCATGGCTGCTCCTTGTAGATGAAGATCTCCTCCAATGGTTGCTCTAGCTTCCTCCCTTCTTCCTCTCCAAGAATAGCCTCCAAGATGATTTTCAATGTGTGACAAGAGACTCTAGGCTCTTCTCCAAAAAGTGTATCATCTTCCTTATATAGGTAGGTCAAATACACCCTATGATGAGCTGTGGTCGTGCAAGGTATATTCTCCAATGATTGGGTGAAGGACGGAATAAATGAGCTGGACTTTAACTTTTTCTCGCTGGAGGAAGTTCGATCGATCGAACCTTAACTTGGATCGATCGAAGATGGGTTCGATCGATCGAACTGCATCTTGGATCGATCGAAGTGGTCTGACTCCTCCGGATAAGGACAAGGCTGAGATATTTCGAAGATATTTATGGGGAAAAGGACAAAAGTGGTTGGTAAGCGTACAGCTGTGGATAAGATCAATCATTTGAATAGGACAAAATAGGGTTCGATCGATCGAAGGTGATGTTGGATCGATCGAACTTGAAATTTCAGCAAAGGCCAAGGTTGGATCGATCGAACTTTTCAACTGCACAACTTTGATTCCTTTTTGCTCCTTGCTTTCTCCTCTTTGCTCCCTCCTTTGGTTTATCTCAGGATTGCTTCAATTAAGCTCTTATTTGGCTGAGTTAGCTCAATTTTGGGATTAGTGCCTGAAAATATAAATAACACGTAATAAGTCTAAAACGGCAAAGTAAGATAGATAAAGGTACTAGAATGCTTAAGCTTAACGGGTTTAAATGCGCACTTTTCAGTGCTCATCACCCCATAGGCCTAAACCTCCTCAGTTAATGGGAGCATAGTGATTATTTCTTCTGCTTGGAAGAACTTGGCATGAAACAATGCTGCCAACTATCCCCAAGTGGTGTGAGACCCTGGCTCCAAATTCACATACCATTTATGCGTCATATCATTAAGCGTTTTGAAAAACTCCCTCAATTGTAGGCAATGATCGTTTCCAAATGGCCCAAGGGCCTTAATGAATCGTACAATGTGCTCTTGTGGGTTCCTTTTCTCCCCTCAAATTTGTTAAACTTTGGTGCCACATACCCAAGGGGTATAGGAGATGTGCCACTGCTTGAGCATACAGGGGCTTGGGCGCTACATCATGTGTGAACCTGGTTCGTTCAGACTGTAACATTGCTTGCACGTCTGCCATAACAGCGAATTATGATGCTGGGGAAGTCTCAGGTGGGTACTGTGATCCTTTCAGGTCTTCAACCCTGCGCGGCACCTCCTGCTAGTACGAGTGGCTCGAGGACAACCTAAGGGATGCTGTTTGAAGGGTGCCAAATAAAGTTTGTCGCGCGGTGGCCGGAGGGGTCCCTCATCCCCTAAGGGTACCAAAGGCGGGGATGCGCCTCTCTTCGGTAGCTCGGCGATAGGGAGGGAGGCGCAGAATGCTCCGGAGTAACCTGACTTCTTTCTAACTCGTTGTAGAACTCCCCCCGTTGGGGCACTCCTCTAGTGTCTATGTCTTACAAGACCACAACCATCTCTTTTTAGGTATCCTTCAGCTTCTCCATTCTGAAGGAGAGGGAATTGTAGGCCTCAACCACGGCGTCGGGGAAAGTGATCCTTGTTCCCCAAATATCTGTCTCTAGGACACTACTCGCGACTGCCTCATCGCTGCTACCTGCGAGTGCAGGTCCATTCTGCGAGGGAAGGCTAACCTCCTATACGCCTAACATACTCGAAATGTTCCTCCCCAGTAGAGTCGCCAAAATGTTTATAGATGATGGGTGACGGGGCTAGGAGATCATTCCACGTAGGTCAGGAATGCTGAGGTTAGTGTCTGAGTGAGAACTCAAACTATACCAAGGATTCTTCACAGGTGAAGATTGAGAGAAGGAAGGCAGTTGCTCAGTACTTATCTAACTCGAGGTTCGGCAGTAGGTCTTTTTGATTCTTGTTGTCTTCCTCTTAACTTCTGATTACTATGCCTATTTATGCTAGTTGGTTTCGGATAATGCCCGCCGGTCGCCCGGGGGGGGGGGGGGGGGGTAGCTCCCCTTAACCATTAGTTTCGAGAGGGTAGCCTCATTTTGACCAGTGGGCGAAGGGACCTCATTCTGACTGATGGAACGTCAGGGGGGCAGCCCAAGGCAACGTGCGCCTTGGGTCAGGTGATGAAATGATTATTCTGTGCATAGGTCATTTTAGTGTATTTAATGCGCCGAGTGACTCCTACCTTCCCGGTTGAGCGTCTTCTCCCCTTGGTATAGGCCTTAGGATAAAAAGGAAAAGGAGGGAAAGTAGGCATGTTTCCATACACGATCCCCCCTTTTTCTCTTCTTATCCATAAGGCAGTACCTTAAATTCTAACCTCCCATTCACTACGACTCAGATTCCCATGCCAGGGGAAAAGAGGGAGGTTTTGAGGCTCTGTCTTCTTTGGCCTCGCGTTCCCCCAACTTCCAAGCTCCTCGAGCCTCCCACAGCGAGCGGCTCGGGGAGAACAACGAGTAGAACCCTCGGGCCCCTGTCTAGAGTACTGCTAGAAATGAGGGGACTTTGAGTTAGGGCATGACTCATCCGACTGGAGCAGGACGCTGCCAAACCAGGAGATTAAGGGGTAGTGACCCCCTCCTCTTATGAGCCCAGGTGCTTACATACCAGACCCTAATAACTCGAGGTTCTTAGGACTTCCAGAGTAAAGTCAAGTGGGACGCAATATGTGCCCATTCAGTACTGACCAGTTATGCAATATTATCATTTAGTAGGGACATGTGACAGTGACTATCAACACATATATACGCAGAGGACGCACTTCCTTCAAAGATTTAAAAGTATAACAATAATATTAGCTATATATATATATATATATATATATATATATATAAGACTAAGAATTCTAAGTTTATATTAATGTTATTCATATTTGTCCTGTATCATGTATACTTGCAGCGGATCTTAAGATCCCTGCTTGGATCATGAACGACAAGCTGCCATGATTGAACAAACCTATTTCTGTAATTTGTCTTGGATAATTAAATCCCTTGCACATTGTTTATTTGTTAAGTAATTGTCGCTATCAAGGGATTTTTTTTTTTTTTTGGCTATATAATCAAATATTTACTCATATAAATTTAAAAGATTAGTGGGTTGTTACTGTTAGTGTCATTAGTCTATATTTTAATTATTTAATTTTGGAAAGTTGTGCTCTTATGTCATTTTTTTTTTTACTATAAGCCTAGAGACGACGAGATGGACCGACCATCTTATAACTTAATATTCTTCTTCTACAATAAAATAATTATTTGGTGCGCAAATGAAAAGAATCCATTTTATTTTGAATTGACCTAAAACTCTTCTTGTCTTATATCATTCATAAATAAAATCAACCTGCATGTGTCGACAAAACGAGAATACACATAAAAATGCGTATTTTTGTATGGAGAAGGGCTACGTGTATGGTTGATTGAAGAGTTCATCGTCTCTCTGATTCCAATGTTTTGTGGTCCAGCACTCCATATAACCAAAACCAAGAAGTGCATTTTTCAAAACCAATGAGAAAATGACACGCCAACCTCAAATAGCGTGGTCAAAATTTTACCGTACCATGCCAATCTCCATTCTTTGGTCAACAATTCCGTACCATTGCGAGTGCTCATGGACCAACTCAGTGGTTCAACGCTGACCTATCTAAGCGTGTAAGCGTAGCTAACTTTTGGGGACTTGGAATCAATTTTTTTTTTTTTTACTGCAAATTATAAATAAGTCAACGAGGGAAAAAAAATTGAGTTTAAATGTTAAAATTATAAATGCTAAATATAAATTATTTTATATTATTTTTTAAAATCAATTATTCAATTAGGTATATTTGACAATAAAATATGAATATAGTTGAATAGAATCAATTCTACTTGCATGACATAAAAAATTGTGATATAAATACACTTACCATACAATATTAAAATTAGACCTATTTAATGCTAGGGATATAATGTTAATTTATTCTAAATTAAAACTGAATTAAATCATCAAACAATACCATTTTTCTTTTGGTAATTAAGCAAGCACACAACCTCAACCTCTCACATGAATAAAAAAAAAACAGAGTGGGGAAATGTTGGGTCTATTATGGACTCAAAAATAATATTCATGATAACATAAACATTCAATGTGATTCTAAAACTTGATTAATTCGACAAATAAAATGTACGATAAGAATAGTTACAATTGTCGTGACTGTCCAACATCAAGACTAAACTAGTCATAAACTTTCCATGTTTCCATAAATAGAGTTAATCGATATGATATGCAAAGCATTCCTTGTGGACAAAATAGACCAATGACATAAATACATGATTAGCTTATGGTATATGAACCCGGTTCGATGAAGCATCATAGCGTCCAACTAGCTGATATTTTTGGATCAGATCAGCTGACCTTTGACCTTCACTTACTTTGCTCTTGCTCACCCACTCAATTTCTTTCATTTTCAAATTTTAAAGTCCAAGTGTTCGCCATCTCGTGTCTCATCCGCGGGCCGACCACTCCACACAGTCACACACACACACACACTCTCTCTCTCTACATATTTTAGTTACATTTTTACATGATTTTACACTCCACGACTCTTATAAAAGCCTTCCCTGAAGTCCCCCATCAAACAGATCAAAGCAGAGAGAAATCCCAAATCAAATAAAAACCCTTTTCTTCTTTTTTTCTAATCCGGGCTGAAGGACTCCAAACAGAGTATATGTATATGCATACACATATTTCAACCATACTAAATACACACACTTCGGCTTTTCTCTAGCAAACCCATTTCAGAGCATCTCTGTTTCACTAAACCCTTTTAATCTCTCCAGTTTCCATCAACTACATCATGAGAAAATTTAGAGGATTCAGACTCGGTTGCAAACTGGTACGGGTCTCCAAATGGGTCATCCAGAGAAGAACGAAGCAGACTAGCTATCAACGCCTAGATCATCCAAGCTATACGACCAAAGCAGTGGAAAAACTCTGCAATTGGGGTCGTTCTCTCAAACACACAGCTAAGGGGCTCTGTTTCTCCAAGCTCAAATCGGGTTATACTCGGGTCAGTGAAGACCCTATAGTTGGTAAGCCAGTGAGTGTACCAAAGGGGCACTTGGTGGTTTATGTGGGCGAGAAACAAGGTGACATGCACAAATTTTTGGTTCCTGTGATGTACTTTAATCATCCATTGTTTGAGCAATTGTTGAGAGAGAGTGAAAAGGTATACGGGTTCAACCACCCGGGTGGGATCCAGATACCCTCTCGGATAGCCGAGTTCAAGAACGTCCAAATGAGGATAGCCTCCGATGGTGGTGGCAGCTGCCGTAGACGGCGTAGCTGGTTGTCCTAATGAGGAATTGGACCACTGTTATGGTGGTGTTGATTGTGTCTCTCATAATTGCTTACTGGGGATTGTTGTTGATGATAGGGCCTTTTTTCTCTTTTTCTTTTTTTGAGCTTTCAGTTTTGTGCTCTGTACCAACTAGCTAGTGTAGAAAACTTAGCTGTATAAAATCATTTTTTTTTCTTTATTTCGTGCAGTCTAATTATTGGTTCGACGAAGGATGAAAAGAAATGACTTCTTTTCGCAAGTATTGACTCCCTGAAAGTTTATGAGACAGTTAGACGAAGGTTACATACATTTGACCCTCCTCTGAATTAAGTCCTATTGCCCTAGCTTATAAACTAAATAGAACTTGCTCTGCGTTTCATTTGCAATTTATGCAATTTATATCTACCAAGCAACAAAAAAGTTAATTCATACACAATAGGGGTAAATGAAGACAAGGAGTGAACCTACCACAATCAACTTGATGTCCATTCACTTTTCAATAGAACTAATATTATATGTATGAAGTTGGAGAGATCAAAAGCATATATCTTAGAAGTAAAGACACACTGGACTTGAAAGCATGACCTATTTGTTATTCAACTTTATCATATACAGTAAAGACTTCCGTGAACCTACCCACAATCAAGAGCTATAACCTCTGTTTGCTGGATTCCATTGCAACATGTTGTACCCGCTACATGCAGCCACACAAGCTTCCCCCACAGCAGCCTTGGAGACCCCATTGTTGCATATGTTGGCAAATGCACGCATATGTTTCATCCCGTATTGAGTTAATGATCCACAATGTGTCTCAAACAATCGGACCTGGGATTCAAAAATTATATCCTCAATGACGGGTACTGCATGTGTTAGCTGCTAAATCAAAATCAAAAGGTTAACAGAAGCCCAAGAGAATTTTGTTACCATTGATTTGAGACAATTCCAATCATCCACAATAGGCAAACCGGATGCCCTTACAGAACCTAGGGTGGAAGGACCCTTTTCGGGTCCAAAAAGGAATATTCCAATCATGTTCATACTATCATCTAAATGAATCCTGTGTCTCATTGTACTCGTTATCTGGTCTAGAATTTCTCTCTTCTTCTCTGGTTCGTCGTCTTTTGATTTCTCATACTGTCACATATCAACAAGTTTAGAAAATATAATAGCACATGAGACTGTCCACCTATTCTAACTTTTTGTTAGGCCTTGCATTGAAAAGCCTAAAAGCTCCAATAAGAGACAAAGATGGCTTACCGCTTGCCATAGGAAAAGAAGATCTGCATCCCTCTGGTTAACAACATCCAAATGGGTATCACAGAGAAATTTGTTTGTTGGCAAGTTCTCGGTGGCAGGATCAAAACCTTGATATAGGTAAAGCTTCTCGGGTTTGAGACTTTTATTTCCATATTCCATCACATGCGATCCGGCAGTGTAAGTGTTGTAATTTGAAGTCCTCAGCTTTACCTGCAAAAATTGTTATAGAGACTTCGATGAAATTTACATAGAAAACAAGATTGAAGCAATTTGCGTTCAAGAAATAAAAACTGTTTCATTAGAACATTTACATAGAAAACAAGATTGAAGCATTTTGCGTTCAAGAAATAAAAACTGTTTCATTAGAACATTTACGTAGAAAACAAGATTGAAGCATTTTGCGTTCAAGAAATAAAAACTGTTTCATTAGAACAGGTATTGACGCACACAGCATATCATGCTCTGGTGACAAGCCCAATGACATGCTAAGTGCGAATCCCAGTCAAATTGAGTAACCTAATGACCTGCTTAGATAGTTAGATGGAACGGCTTATTAATTTATATTGTTGAAAAAGGTTAGAAGCTCCATTAAGAACCAAATGGAAGTTCAAACTTTGAAGTCTCACAGCTTGATATTGTTGATCTATTGTTTCTTTCTTCAGGTTGTGGTTCTCACTGCATGAAAATATGGGCAGAATTAGTCACTTAAGATAAACAAGACCTCAAAGCCCTTTTGTTGAATATAAAATCATATATGAAACGCTAGGACCTGGTTTTTTTTTTTTTTTTTTTGGGGGGGGGGGGGGGGGGGGGGGGGGGTTGGGGGTGGGGGTGTTGGGGGAACATACCTGTCTTCCATCCAAGCAACACTATACAAATCCCCTAGGCAAGTTATATACTCTGGAGGTGGAGCAGGTTCCATCCCAGGACAATAAGTTCCCCAGCTACTCTCTTCTGCATTCGATGCCGTTGTAATGTAGATGTTTAGGTTTTCGGGCATCATACCTTCAAAGACACTCCCACTCTCACATGCTTCTATGTATATAACCTACATATATATCCATGATACAGTGTCAGTAATTAAAACTACCATATAAAATTTCAGCGATAAAACTTTTAGTTAAACAAGAGGGGAAAACTATTACCATCTCCTTGTAGTCGTGGGAAGCATGCTTCTTCTTCAAAACCTCAATGAAATCTTTCGCATAGAGGAAAGGCATATTCGGCATCCCTAAAAGAAAAAAGAAAAAGAAATAAGTAAACTACAAAAAACATACTTACTTTAAGCTCTAGTACTACTCAAAATGCACCCAATATATCCTGCCTTGGCAGTGTTCAAGGTTTTATGTTGTTTTAATTTCTCTTAGAAAACAAAATCTATATCTATCCATATACACACATACAAGAAGGTCTAAGCTCAATTGCTTGTCTAAATTCACATACTGTTTCCTGCATTGCTAGCATCCACTTCTCCTTAATTATCTATATTCAACTATTGATGTGAGTATGGGAGTAGTGAATGTCCAAGATTATGTCCTAATGGTATTATAAAGTTGAGGTATAGAGAATGAATTTGAAGCTCACCAAGCACTCCAGGGCCTCCATGATCAGAGTAGTATAAGAAGATCCTGTCATTGGGTTTGCTTTGCACAACCTTCCCACTTCCACCTTTCAAAGCGCTCCTATTGCCGAGAAGCACGGCATACAAGTTCTCTGCAGTGACATCCTTGCCAGTATAATCCTACCATCATCATCCCATGCAGTTAGGAACGCATCGAATAAACTAGTTTCATACTACTCAAATTGAAATTTTAGTCATTCTCCAATATGCCTTAATTTTTTAATTTGAATAGCCAGTAAAGTGTGCTATAGAGAAGCTCTAACAATGATATGACATAAATCTTGATATATATGTGCGCATTATGTACCTTGGGTACACCGGCATAGACATCATGACCTTGTGGATGGTTGATCATAACTCCACGCCTCGGGTTGAATTCATGCGTGGCAATGTCATCATACATAAACACCACTATGTTCTCCTCTTTCAACCCTCCTCTTTTCAAAATCTGATACGCATGGCAAACGTCCGCCTATATTGCACTCAAAATTTACTTCATATTCACAACAACAACGAACCAAAAAAAAAAAAAATACTATTAACTCGTAGCAGGCAATTTGTGAAATGTGTGTAAGTACTATTTTCGTCTACCATGTTTTATATATAAATATATAAATTTAGTTTGGTCATAACCATACAAATTTAATTAACATAATGTTTATGAGATTATACAAAACACTAAAGTTTTACAGTCAATCTGATTTCAATTTGGACAGTTATGGACAGTGTGTGTCTTAGTTACCAAGAGATAAAAGCTGAAACTAACCAAAAATGGAAATGGATCAAATTACCAGTATGAGATTATATACAAGCCAACGTGCCAATTATGAGATTACAAAATTTTGAAAACATAAACGATAATACATGTAAAATTATATAAGCCAAATCAAACTTTTAGCAATTTAGTTTGGTCAAACTAAAACTTATGATAAGAAACTTCGACCACAACAAGAGTGTTGAGAACCCAAAAATATTGGTTATGCATAGTATCAACTATTTTCATTTTTTTCTTTCAATTTACACAACATGGTTAGTACTCCCAAATACCCAATAATATTGTTGATACGAGCATGTGACATATTCGTCAATTCTCAATAAAATTTTGATAATTCAAATTTTATATTATTCAATATGAAATCACTGATATTTATGTCCCAATGACCTAAAAAATAAATATCTCATATATATAGGAATATACTAGTTCGTTTTTTCAAAAGAATTAAATTGGTCCAAACCCAATATTTTTTTAAAAAAAAATTAACTAATTAAATTGGCTACGGTACCATCTATGATGCTGCATAGTAAGCATCCTTGAGAGTCTCACCTGATGGCGGTAGTTGCCATAGCCATGTGAACCGGCAACGAGAACCGCCCATCGCGTGCCGTTTTCTTCCGGTCTATGGTCCTCCTCCACAGGCGTCCGGATCAGCGGGTCCCAACGGTTCAGCAACACGGCTCGACCACCTCTCGTAGCTTGTACTACTACTAGTAGCAAAAGCAGCACAGAGGTCCAAAGCAATAATGAATAGCAACGGTCCGCCATTGAGGACCAAATCAAGAAAACCGGCAACCACTTGCGGGAATTAGAGAGAGAAAGGAGAGAGATGAGAGCAGCTGCCTCGAGGAAGAGCAGTGAGAAAAACACACACACGCGCATATAAATGTATATATATAGCGGTGTAAGGTGCCATGCAAAAGAAGGGAGTGACACCTGTGACGAGCGCTTGAGACTAGTGGGTCCCAAAATTGGTCTATCTTAACCAGGTGGCCATCTATGATTGGTGTAGCCTTTGACTTTTGAGTCATGAAATTCAACTATTGTTGTTAACGTTCACTTTTACCTATTCTTTGGTTGATTTTGATAAATGCAAATCAAGCTAAAAGATTACTAATTTTTTATTTTAATTTTATTTTGTGCAACACTTCAAATTCATTTCAATTAATTGGCTTTGTTCCATCTCTCTGAGACTCTCACTCCCTTTAGTTTGTGAGCTTGGACAGACAATCGTGAGTTTAAGTTTGAAAGTACGTATCTTCAAATTTATTCCGATTAATTAGCTTTATTCCCATTAAATACCGAGCATGTACAGACAAATTGATTTCACTTCAATTTTCTTCTTTCAACATTTTTTTAAAAACTTTTCTATTCTTTATCAATCTGAGGCTTTTGCTTGTAAAAAGGTTATTTTCAACACAATTTAACAAACTAGTTGAAATTATATGTCAAATAAAAAAACATAGTTAGCATAGAAGTTTATCCTTAGAATTACACCAACTATAAATTACTGAGAATTCATAATTTCATATCTGTTTTGGATGGATTATTAAAACAAAATAGAAGAATGGGAAATGTTTTAATTTTTACCACATACTATTGGAGATCGTTGTCAAGTAAAGTTTCAAAATCTTAAACCCTCCTAATTTTCTAACTGAATTAAAGATCCAATTTGGTCATATCTTTCTGCCCCAAAATAGCCAAGTAACATCGGAATGGGACTCGCCGGCCATATAAGCACTAGTAATCCAATACCTAGCTAGCTAGAAGTCTCAAAGAGCCTAATTCTGGAAATTTTTCTAACTGAATTAACGGTCCAATTTGGTCAGATATTTCAAATTTATCCTAAGTGAAATTTATAATTTTCTCATTTATTGCCCTATTATCTCTGCAGTTTCATTTGATTTTTTCTTCTTCTTCGGTTTTTTTAAAAAGTAAACGCATAATGTATATATCCAAAACAAAACCACCAATAGAGAAAACCCCTATAAATACAACAAGAAAATGATACTGCATCCAAAAGTTACACCTAGAATAAGATATATGGCATCTCAAAATTGGAATAGGTATTTGGATGTAAAGCATATCACGTTATTGATATGTTTAGTTAATAAAAATACAATTGAGAGTAATTTTCATAAATAAGTAGGATCATTGAATGGTGCATTTTTAATGTGTAGACATATCAATTTCATTAAAAAATATTTATATACACATATCAATTTCATAAGGGTCTTTTTGGTGAGCGGTTTATTTTAATTCAAAACAAAACAAGTATTTTGACATCGAAAGTATGTTTTGTAACGCCCATTTGTTGCAAAATTTTTAAAAGCAAAAAGATGATAACATGTGTTGTAAAAAAAGTGTTGGAAGTTTGAAAAATATAATAGTTAGTTTTAAAATATCATTTAAGAGTTTTTTTTTTAAAAAAAAAAATTAAAAAGATTACTGTTTATAGCTATCGAAATTATTGCTACAGTGCAAAAATATGTAAAAATATTAAATTAATATTTTCATTCTTATGTAACTTAAAATAAAAATATCAAAAACAAAATGCCTACCAAACTACTACTAAATAAATAGGAAAAGATGTAATTTTTTTTTTTAATTAAGGCTATGTTTGGTAGGGTGGGTTCGAAAGGGGAGGATAATATTAGTTATGAGGGAAAAGGAAGGGAAGGGAATTATAATTTTAGTCTCCTATCGTGTTTGGTTGATTATTGAATGGAAAAGAAAATGAAGGATAATAATCATGTATTGGGGAAAGAAATGGAAGGATAGGAAGGAGAATTATTTATATAAATTTATTATTATGCCCTTTTATAATTTAAAATAATTTATATATATATATATATATATTTGTCTCCTTTTTATATTTTAAAATATAAATAAAAATTTATATTTTAAAATATAAAAAGGAGACAAATATATATATATATATATGTCTCAGGCCCATGGATCGGCCACCAGAAAATGAAAAAAAAAAAATAGGGCAAATCATTTCAACCTCCATCTCTATTCTCGTTCTCAACTCTGAACTTGCCTTTTCTCTCTCTCTCTCCTCTGCAATTGCAAACTACTACAAGAATCAGAAGTTCAAAACCCATATATTTCAGTTTATATATTTATCTGCAAGAATCAAAACTTCAAAACCCATATCGCCATCGTTTCAGATTGTTCAAAAAATCAAAACCCAATTTCAGATTATTCAAAAAACCAAAATCCATATTGATCTTTCAGTTTCCATCGCCCGCTATTCCAATTCGGGTTTGCCGTTCGCAAACTTCAGCCTCTGACCCTCCTTCTCTCAACTTTCAAGCTTGCCCCCCTCTCTCTCTGCAACTGCTAAATTAACTAATCAAGGTCTGTAATTCTTGTTTTGCAACCTAAATTCACATGTAATCTAGGGCAAAATTGGCATCTAAAATCACACACTAAGCCTTTCTTTCCCTTTCTCTTCATTTCCTCTTATTTTTGGGAGGTTAAGAAATTTACTGTTGAATACTTGTGTTAACCCTCCAAACCCTTCCCTTTCCTTCCAACAATTTTTGCCAAACACAAATTTTTAATTCCCCTCCATCACTTTTCCTTCCCTTCCCTCCCTTTGCCAGTGCACCAAACTGACCCTAAGGGAACATATCAACCACTTGGTAGACTGGAAGTAATCAATATATGCTGCCATAAAAACAAGTTATCCTCCTCCCCTCATCCATCCACCGAGAACCATCCCCCTCGCCACCTCCCCCGTAACCTCCTTGCGACCAAGACCAAACCTTCCTGCTGGAAAACCACCACACCACCCAAATTCTTGTTGTCCACCATCATCCTCAAAAGCTACTCCTAAATACCATAACACCAGTGCCCAACCATCTTTATCCCTTCAGGCCATTAATAAAAATAATGGAAAACAATCACTTCTCCCCACTCATGATTCACCTGATTATCACCCCAAACCACCTTCTGTCACATCTGCAACCAAGGACAAAATCAATAAAGCCCTCCAAAATGATAAGATCCTCAACCCAACCAACAAGACTTTCTCTGAGGTCACATACTTACCCGATGAAGTGGAAGCTGTGATTTTGAATGCCTCTAAAACTGACCTGATTGACGAAGTGGCTAGTTTGAGGAAGAAGCTTGTTGCCGCTGAAAATGACCTCGCTTCCTTTAGAGCCAGCCAACCATCTGAAGGGACTCCTTTTGGAATTGGAGTTGACACATCCATTTCTCACTCTAAGCTTGTGAGCCTCATGGACAGAGCAGCCCGGAATCATGCAGAACTTCTCCAAATCTTCAAGGACCTTCTCTCTTGCTCTGCTGCAGGTGGCCTGAGCTCCGGTAACCTGCAGGAAATTCAATTTCAAATTAAAATTATCAGGCGTCACATAGGCATAGGAATAAAGGTACTTTATCTGACATACCTTCCATTTTGGCTCCTTGTGACCTTTCACACGAAAGTCAAAAGGTTCTTGCTTCTCCATTCCTCACTAAAGATGGTCCCATCAGGCAACCCCAGCAGCTCACAATTTCATCCTCTGGTCCTTCCACAGTGTCATAGCCGTTGCCCAATGGGCAATGCATTGAGTCATAACCCATCAAACAACTACAGCTACAGCCTAGGGATCAAACAACAACTAATCCCTCTCCTTACTCTGTGGCCCAAACACAACAACTCTCCCCAGTTGACCAACCCCCTCCACGGACAGTTCCTACTGGGCACAACTCCCAACCTCAGCCCCAACTGTCAGCCACTAGATCATGGGCTGAAGTGGTTAAACAACCCCCTCCTCCTCTGTCTTCCACTGATATGGTTTTGGAATTTATTGAGCCCACAAGAACAGATTTGGGTGCTATTGGCATGCCTCCAAAAGAAGTTGAGGATGAAGGCCATTCATCTTGGAAGGGGCTGCTTGTTGGAAGATTTGCTTTCAAGAAACCTTCATTCAGCTTTGTTCAGATGACAACATCCAAGATTTGGTCAAACCAAGGGCTGCAGCAGTTTCTAGCTGATGAGGAAGGTAATTTCTATTTCAAGTTTGATAATAAGTGCTCTGCCAGCATCATCCTTGCATCTGGCCCCTATCACTTTGCCGGAAGGACTCTTCAGCTACAGAAATGGAATCCAAACCTGCCACAAAAAGTTGATAATGGTCAGTTGGTTCATGTGTGGGTCAAGATTTTCAACATTCCAATTCAATATTGGACAGCAAAGGGGCTTAGCCATGTTGCAAGTGCATTGGGCAGGCTATTGTATGCTGATAAAACTACACAGGGAAGACATAAACTAAAATATGCTAGGATCTGCATTGAAGTTGATCTCAATGCTCCTTTGGTTTTACTCTTTCCCACTGAGGAAGAACGACGACACAATGGTTGACATTATCGTGGAATACCAAGGGCTACCATTTTACTATATAACATGTAAGATGACTGGTCATAACTCTTCCCATTGCCCTAGTGTTTCTCCATCTCAGTCCAAATGGCAGCTGGTTCCATCTCGAAGCTCAAAGTCTGCTAAAGGCAAGAATTTGGCCCCTTATTCCCAACCAATTAGCCCTTCTTCATATTATCAGATGGTCCCACCTTCATTCCTCCCTGCTCACAATCAAACATTAACCCCTTCACTTAACTCCTCTTCACCACATGTTTCACATATTAATACCACCTCAAAAAGGATTTCACTCCTGCAAACCAAACAATTAGCAAGAACAGTCCCTCACTCAATTAACACTGTAAATCATGAAGCTTGTTCTACATCCTTTGCTGAACATATTCCCGAGAATGCTGCAGCCTCTATATCTGTCCCTCATATCCAAGAGGATCCCACCAGTGAAAATGCTAAGGATGATGCTACCACTGAACATTCTATCCCTATGTCTTCATCTTCATAGAGTCAATCCAGTTCAGCCACTTCAAAGGACAAAAGGTCCATGCAGAAGAATAAGAAGGGTAACAACACCCTGAATTTGCCAGTCTTCCCCCACAAAGGGCTTGGACTGCTGGGAGGTAAACATAAAACTCCCTCTCGATGATCAGTTTTGTGTATGGAATACTAGAGGCTTTAATAGGCTCCCTAAGTAGCTTCAGCAGCGTGATTTGATTATATCAAATAAGCTTGTTATGGTGTTACTATTGGAAACAAAGGTGGCTCAAGAGAATTTGGGAAATATACAAAGATATATATGCCCTAACTGGTCAGTATTACACAATTATGATTTCTCTATCTTAGGGAGAATATGGGTCCTCTAGAACCCTGATGTGCTCAAGGTTGAGCTGATTAAATCTTCTAGACAAATTATGCATTGCTCAGTAACCTACTTGCCAAACAACACTCAATTCTATACTTCCTTTGTTTATGGGGCTAATGAGCATGTGGGTATGAGGGATCTATGGGAAAGTATAATTGAGCAATCAAATGTTTTTTTTAATTCTCCATGGATTGTGCTTGGTGATTTTAACACTATTTACTCTCCCCTTGAAAATTTTGGTGGTTCACAAAGATGGACAGCTGCTATGATTGATTTTAGGGATTGCCTTAATCAATCACAACTGGAGGAATTAAGGTCTACAGGGGTTCATTTCTCTTGGAACAATATGAGTGTTGGCCATGCTAACATTGCTAAAAGGTTGGACAGGGCTGTTATTAATGAGCAGTGGACTCTCACTTATCCTATATCTGACTGCACCTTTCTCACCCCAGGCCTCTCAGATCATAGCCCCCTCCTAATCAAAATGGGTGCTCCTACTGGACCCAAGAAAATTCTTTTTAGGTACTTTAATGCTTGGGCTTCTAATTCTTTATTTCTTCCCACAGTAGAGCAGGTCTGGGCTACCCCTATTTCAGGAACAACTATGTTTCAGCTTATCCAAAAGCTTAAACTACTTAAAGGAGCTCTCAAGCTTAATTGCAGGATGGAAATCTCTAATGCTTTAGCATTAGTCACTCAGGCAAAACAATCTCTGGCTTAATATCAGGCCTTGCTCGATTCTAATCCTAGAGATATTCAGCTGAGAGTACAAGAAAATGAACTAATGCAGCAGTTCTCCAATTTTACTCTTTCTGATGAGCATTTCATTAAGCAAAAGGCTAGGGTTAAATGACTGAAAGAGGGTGATGGCAACACTTCTTTCTTCTTCAAGCTCTACAATTTAAGACTCAACAACAAGAAGATTACTTGTCTTACATCAGCAAATGGTGACTCCATTAACACTGAAGCACTTATAAGGGATGAGATTGTGGATCACTATCATAACCTTCTTGGGAGCTCACCACCTCTTTATCTTGGAAGAGAAGCACTTCAGCCTTTTATTACAAAAACTATTCCAGCCAACCTTAACCCTGCAATATGTGATTCCTTCTGATTTGGAGATTAAATCTTGTATGTTCTCTCTCAGCAAGGAAAAATCCCCTGGGCCTGATGGTTTTAATGCCCATTTTTTTCACAAGGCATGGTCTGTGATAGGCTCTGATGTGACCAAAGCCATTAAGGACTTCTTTGTCTCTGGCAAGCTGCTAAAAGAGGTTAACAATGCCTACATTGCTCTAGTACCAAAGTCTCAAAATCCTTCTTCCCTTAATGATTTTCGTCCAATTTCCTGCTGTAACACTATATATAAATGTATCACCAAGCTCTTGGCCAACAAACTCAGGCTAATCCTGCCATCCATCATTGATCAAAGCCAAAATGTATTTATTAAGGGTAGGCACATTGGTGATAGTGTTCTACTGGCTCAGGAGCTTCTTCAGGGTTATCATAGACATCTTTCACCGCCTAAGTATGCTATGAAGGTGGACCTCATGAAAGCTTTCGACTCGATGGGTTGGAATTTCCTACTGGATACTCTTGATCTTTTTGGGCTCCCTCTTCCATTTATTGGCTGGATCAAGGCTTGTATTACTTCACCATCATTCACTGTCTCCATCAATGGTGAATTCCATGGTCACTTTAGAGGGGTAAAAGGTTTAAAGCAAGGTGATCCCCTATCACCCCTTCTGTTTGTAATAGCAATGGAAGTCTTCTCTGCCATTACAAAGAAGTTTATTTCTTATTCCACATGCTTCAAATTCCACTCAAAATGTAAAAATTTGGCTATTTCCCACCTTATTTTTGCTGATGACCTACTTTTCTTCAGTCATGGAGACCTTGCTTCTATATCCACACTTAAGCATGCCCTAGATCATTTCTCTGCTCTCTCGGGAATGAAAATCAACAATTCAAAAAGTTCTTTCTTTGTCTCTGGAGTGCACTTGGCTCTAACTAACAGCATCAAAAATCTACTGGGATTTAATTGTGGCTCACTACCTATTAAATACTTGGGTGTTCCTCTTCTCTCCACTAGGCTCAAAGCAGATGACTGTCGAGGGCTAGTGGAGAGGATCACCAAAAGGATTAATCACTGGTCATCCAAGTTTCTTTCCTATGCAAGCAGAATCCAACTGATCCAATCAGTCCTTTACAGTATGATTAACTACTGGTCCAACCTATTTATTTTGCCTAAATCAGTTATAGCTGAGGTAACCAATCTTATGAGGAATTTCCTATGGTCTGGTACTGAATTCAAGCCCTCTGGAGCTAAGGTGAACTGGATTGCATGCTGTCAGCCTAAAGAATTTGGAGGTTTGGGTTTTAGAAATCTTGAAACTGCTAACACAGCAGCAGCACTTAGACACATTTGGACTCTTATTTCTAACTGCAGGGATAACCTATGGGCTCAGTGGGTTAAAGCGCAGCTCATTAGGGACAAATGTTTCTGGACAATGAATATTCCTCAATCATGCTCTAGCAATTGGAAGAAAATTCTGCAATTAAGGGGTGTTGCTAGATCTATGATCCTAGCTAAGGTTAGGAATGGTTCGAATATTTTTTTCTGGGAAGATAATTGGTCTCTAAGGGGACCACTCTCGATGTTCTATTCTAAGGAAAAAAATTAGTAACTCACCAATCCACCCAAATCAGACACTGGCTTCGATGATTCACAATGGGGAATGGATCTTCCCAGACTTCCTCACCCAGCGCTTTCCAGAGATTAGTAACCTTCCCCTTCCATACTCCAATGTCGATTCTTTCACCTGGATCCCATCACCAACAGGGGAGTACTCACTCGGTCACACAATTGCATGGCTCAGGGCGCACAGTTATCTAAAACATTGGCAACACCTGGTTTGGAACAATCTCTCCATCCCAAGATGCAAATTTACCTTGTGGCTTGCAGTACAAAGAAGACTTTCCACCCTTGATAGAGCAAGTATGAGACATTTCATGGGATCCAGAGTCTGTCATCTTTGCAATCTTGTTGATTAAACCCATGATCACTTGTTCTTTGCCTGCTCTTTTACTCGCCCAATCTGGATTGCTCTCCAAAACAAGTGCAATTTCTACTTTTCCCCTTCTCGGTGGAGTGATTTGGTTGATCAACTGTCGATTCGCTGGTCAAGTAAAAATTTGAAGAATTCAGTCAACAAGCTTGTGTTATCCACTTCAATTAACAAGATCTGGCAAGGGCGCAATGACCGAATCTTCAAAAATTAGAAGCACAATCAGCTCACAATCTTCAAACAAATTACTGATCTTGTTAGGCAAAATCTGTTAACTACTTTGGTTAAAGACTCACCATGTGCAAGAAGGCTTAAGCTTGAGTGGAATTTGCCGGCGTTCATCAAACCTCCTCCGGAGCCTCCTGATCGCTCGGATTGGGGATCACACCCTTTTGTTTTACACTAGCTATAATAAGGGTCATTTGTCTCACATCGGAATCGGATGGGAAAATGATTGGGTATAAATGGGTGGGTATGCAGCACTACCCAATAGTTCGAGCTTTTGGGTAAATGGGCAAGCGCCCACCCGTTACAGTTGGTATCAGAGCCAGACCCAATCCTTGATCCGGTGTCACGCCAAGCACCTGGCCTGGAAGGCGTCCGGGCTAGCATCCCGGGTAGGCAGGGTGGCCCGAACCGCAACGAGGGCGTTGCGAATTTGGGTGGGGGAGAATGTAACAAGGGTCATTTGTCCCACATCGGAATCGGATGGGAAAGTGATTGGGTATAAATGGGTAAATATGCAGTACTACCCAATAATTCGAACTTTTGAATAAATGGGCAAGCGCCAACCCGTTACACCAGCTGTGGGTATTCTTTAGACAAACATAGTCTTCATCATCTTAGACTATCATTGTCTTTGTGTTATATTAGATCTAAATACCGGGCTTCTATTTTGGGTTGTAAAAGATTCTTGCGAGTGGGTTGTCCACGGTTTGTGGACCAGCCTCTCTTATAATTTCTGTATGTAATTTTCATATTTTCTTTATAAAATTATCCTTATCTTCCATAAAAATTAAAAAAAAGTAATCAATATACTCTCTAAAATTTGGACGCATAAGGCGTTGGCCCAAAATTACTCAACAGTGGTCCCACTGCCTAACAACCTAGAAAATGATGCACAACCGAGGCCCCACCAATAATTAAAAGCAAATGAATGTCACACCAAAGCCCAAGAAATTTACTTTAAGTCGGTTTGGTTTGGGCTGGGCTTAGGACTACCTACAAAAGAGTCACAAAATATGGTCAAATCTTACTAAACCCATGAAACATTGGTAAGTTAATACTGAACAAATAACCCCCATAAATACAACAGAAACGCCAGTAGCTAGCTCATCAATAACTAAGCAAAGCTCATGCATCTAAACCAAAGCCCACCTAGTTTCCTCTCCTCTTAGTAAACTTTGGGCTGGGCTTACGCAACCTAAAAACAGTCACAAAATATGCTCCAATCTTACTAAACCCATTAACATTGGGCCAAGACTTTGAAATTCTAGCCCATGGATTGACTTTTCAAACTATAATATTGGAGTTGGCTTCGTATGTCAAATTACCTATAAATCATATTATCTAATGTAAATAAGTTCATAAGCAACATAAAGCAACATTCTAAACTTCATCATAAACCAAAATTTATTTATTCTTTACATATGTAGCACCTAAGAATTCTAACTAATATGGGCAAATTCAGTCTTTTAATTCTAAAATAAAAATAAAATTCATTTCGAAAGAAATCGTGCCTGAATTAATTTTAATTTTTATTAAAATCTTATAAGAGTCGTGAGCCATATTATTAACTATTCATTGAAACAATTTTTTAAAAATAAAATAGATCTTTTAGCAAGTCTATTAATTCAACGGTTAATAAAAAAAAGTCCATAACTTTTATTATGAGAAAATTGTATTAATAACTTTACACAAATTTAAATATAGTTACCGGATATGAGTTTATATTCTTACACATTTGATTTCATTTATTCAATTTTTTCAAAATTAATGATTATACTTTAGACAATACTTAGAACATCTCCAGCGGTCTGTTAAAATACATTTTTGTGTAAAATATACACTGCCACTTACGATGTGTAAATTTTTTTCATCTCTAACAGTCTGTTAAAGATACATTATCATATCACCAATGTATAAAAGGGTTGTGTATTTTACACAATATTTTTACATTACTAGATCAACATATTTCATTTATCATCCCTCTTTCTTATCCTATTAAAAAATAAATCAACTATATATTAAGTAAGTTTATAAAAATTATGTGAGGTCTGTCATGACACATGATTGATTGTTATTGGGAGATATATTTTTACACAAAAGATATAAAACAACCGTTGGAGTTAAAATTAAATAATTCAAAATTAATGACACATTAAATTTACAAAAAAAAAAAAATATGCACAATGGTTGGAGATGCTCCTATTAACGAGGATCTATAATATACTCATCGCTGATGTGAACTAATAATAAATAGACACGTTTTATTTTAATTACCAAATTAAAGATAATAATTTCATTATAGATGATGATTAAATCACTATCTTTAATTTAATAAGTGAATAATTTAACCACCATATTAAATTTGATAATTAAAAATTGTAAATTCTCCAAGTATTCATTAAACTTTTGTTATTTACTCATGTCCAACTCGACAAGGTTAATTCTGAACCTGTGGCCAAACAACTCTTTCCCACTTCACACGAAAAGCCAATCACCCTATTTCCCCAGAACTTTCGAGAAACACGTCCACGCCAATCCCCCAGGGCCTAGAACTCTCTCGTCGCAACCCTTTTATAAACCCCCACGCGGAATCTCTCTCCATATTCCGATACATTATAGCGAGAGAGAGAAAAGATACTACAATCACACAGCAATCAGCGGAATGGCCGACGAAGCAAAGGCCAAAGGCAACGCGGCTTTCTCCGCCGGCAACTACAACGACGCCATCCGCCACTTCACGGAGGCGATCGAACTCGCCCCCACTAACCACGTCCTCTACTCTAATCGATCCGCTTCCTACGCATCCCTCGGCCAATACAGTGACGCCTTATCGGACGCCCAAAAGACCGTCGAGCTCAAACCCGACTGGTCCAAGGGCTATTCGAGACTCGGAGCTGCCCACTTGGGTCTTCGCCACTACGACGATGCTGTTTCGGCCTACAAGAAGGGCCTCGAAATCGACTCCAACAACGAGGCCCTAAAATCCGGCCTCGCCGATGCCCAATCCGCCGCCAGCAGATCCCGCGCGCCGCCGTTCGGGGGGCCTTCGTCCTCTCCCTTCGGCGACACCTTTTCGGGACCCGAGATGTGGACGAAACTGACAGCCGATCCGTCGACTAGGGTTTTTCTACAGCAACCTGATTTTGTGAGAATGATGCAAGATATTCAGAAAAACCCTAGCAATTTGAATCTGTATCTGAAGGATCAGAGGGTTATGCAAGCGCTTGGTGTGTTGCTCAATGTGAAGATGCGGTCACCGACTTCGGAGGACATGGAGGTTCCGGATGCACCACCGCCTCATCCAGAGAGGAAGAGGCCTGCCGAGGCAGAGCCGGTGAAAGAAAAGGAGGCGGAGCCAGAGCCAATGGAAGTATCGGGAGAGGAGAGAGAAGCTAGAGAGAGGAAGGCACAGGCTGTGAAGGAGAAGGAGGCGGGTAATGCGGCATACAAGAAGAAGGATTTCGACACTGCCATTCAGCATTATTCAAAGGCTATTGAATTGAACGATGAGGATATCTCTTTCCTTACAAATCGAGCAGCTGTGTACTTGGAAATGGGGAAGGTAAAATATTTTATTATTTTCAATTAAATTCGGTTCTTTCGATTGCTTATATCATGTTTGATATTAATTGGTTTGTGTACTAGGAGACAATTGATATCGTTTTAACCTAAAATAGGTTCTTTAAATTGATGGTACTTGGTGGACTATTATATAACTCTGCTAGAAATAAAGGGTTTTTGTAGCTTCTTTAAGTTATTTTAGTAATTTTGATTTGGAATATTTGAATTGGTGTTTTACTGATGAAAAACAATGTACATTTGTCTGCTGACAGTACTATTTGGGTTTGTTACTTCTGTTGAAGTACTACTAAATGCAAGAAATTTAGATTATGCTGTTATATTTTGAGTGCTTGCATATATCTCTATTTTGAGAGATTTATAGGGAAAGACGCAGAATTGACAAATGGGAAGTCTTATCTGCGTGCTACTTGTCTGCTCTCCATTAGTTTTTTGTCATTGGGTATAAATTAACAACTTAGGATGTAACTCAAGTCTTGATTCTTTTTAATGCTTTTAAGATGGTTCAAAGTATGATTGGCTTGGTTTTTTATTCACCTTGTTAACTTAGATCATCTACTTGAATTTCCTTGAGTGTGCATTTATCAAATGTATGATTGGAAGTGGTTTTGAAATAATTGAAATAACTGTAGGATACATGAGGATACTTGTTGTGTAGCATGTCAGATCTTCACTAAGTTTTATGATGCTGTAGAATAATAATAACCCTTCAAAAATTGGTGTTTATTTTCTCTTTTGTTTTGTTAACTTTGTCATTCTACAGCATCATAAATCTTATTCTGTTCATTCAGTTATATTGGTGCTTCAAAACTACTGATAAATCATGTTGAACAATCCGTCTTCATATGAAGATGCCATTTTAACTTGGCAAATAAAATATATAAAGAATATAAGCGATTAGCAGTTTTTTCATGTCTTTGGGGTCCAGGACTCTAGGGAGTTGATAAATCTAATCCGTAAATGCATTGCTTCTCATACATATGAACTCAAATTAATATAACATATATGTAAATTGACCAAGAGATTTTTGTCTGTGCTAGGCCAGAAGCTGATTTAAAAACATTTAGGGGAGCTTTTAATGTTGTTGTGTTAGGGATATAAATAGCTTTATTAGTTTAGTGATATTTTTTTTAGAGCAGTGACACTTTCTTCAAAGAGATTACTGAAAGGGGGAGCCAATAAATGATCCCCCTTGATGCATTCAGTTGGGGTCCAAATGGGTCCCACTTTAAATGCATCCAAGGAGAAGCAATTTTCGGCTCGACATTCGGTACTCTCTCTCTTCGAAGAGAGTATCATTTTCCTTATTTTATATTTTCTTTTCAGTTTCTAGGTATAAAATTTAGAGGAATGCTAGTAACAACTGTCCTACACTCGTTGATGACAGCAATTGTAATTAATAGGATGCTCCTATTTTTATGGAGCATTAAAACCCAACTTTTAAACTGTAGTACCATTTTAATCTCCTCTTTCTGTATGCTATGTTATATAAATTAAAACGTGATATGAAGATCTTGGTTATTAGGTGGTGGAGAGAGAGATTGGATTGTATGGAAATTAGGGTTTGGTTTGGTAAGTAATAAATAATCATGATAGCAAGTGATTTATATATATATATATATATATTAAAGAGAATTGAAGAAAAAATTTTTGGAAAGAATCAATTCACAGTTAGCAATATATATAATATACACACAATTTGGAGAGAGGAGATTAAAAGGGTACTTTAATCTTAAATAGTTAGGTTGTTAATGCTCCATAAAAATAGGAGCAACCTATTAATTACAGCTGTTGTGATTGGTTCACAGCAGAATGTGTAGGAGGACGGTCTCTGCAAGCGATTGTCCCTAGCACTCAAAAATTTACTCATGGAAATTGTTTTGATGGGTTTCCATGAGGTAAAACATTGAATTTTATGTCACTTGGAGAACACCCAGATTTGTTTATGTACAGAAATTGTACAAGGACTGTGACACATGTTGGTAATAAACAGGTGCTAAATAGCAGCATGGAAACCTCATAATGACTGCAGCTTAGGTGTGGTGTCCAGAGATGTCTGCATTTGTTGTATAAAAGTGGGAAAGGAATAAAAATTAGGAAAAAAACATAAAAGAGAGTAGATTACCATGGAATTATGGTTGTTACTTCACTTGTGCGTTGTACAAAATATTATGTACACTCTCTTTCTGCTCTTGGAGCTATGACTAAAGAAGCCTTTATAAAGCTGTTGAAATTTATAGGCTTTGTTAACTGCGATGATTTGTTGTTCTTCTAAATGTAGAATAATGATAGTCCTAACAGTGATACATTTTGCAAGTTTTATGTCGAGTGTTGACTATAATCTGCTTCCCAAATTTTGTTAGTAGTTGAATTGACACAGCCGCCATTCTTCTAATTGATGCATTTCTCTTTTCAGTATGAAGACTGCATTAAAGATTGTGACAAAGCTGTTGAAAGAGGAAGAGAGCTAAGGGCAGATTATAAGATGGTTGCAAGGGCCTTGACAAGAAAGGGAACTGCTTTGGCAAAGATGGCAAAATGCTCAAAGGACTATGAACCTGCTATTGAGACGTTCCAGAAAGCTCTTACGGAGCATCGCAACCCAGACACATTGAAGAAACTCAATGAAGCCGAGAAAGCAAAGAAAGAACTGGAGCAACAAGAGTATTTTGATCCAAAGATAGCAGATGAGGAGCGTGAGAAAGGTAATCCTCTTTATGACTTTTAGGAACACTCTGCTCTTGCTTTCTTTATGTTTTCTCCAGGCTTGTTTGTATGAAGTTCTTGACCCCCATATCTATATTGTGTAGGTAATGAGTGCTTTAAAGAGCAAAAGTATCCAGAGGCAGTGAGGCACTATACAGAATCTTTGAGGAGGAATCCCAAGGATCCCAGAGTAAGTAGCTCATTTGTTTTCGGTTTTCTGGTACATTTTAGGCTTGCAAAGTAGATTTTATATTAATGTGTTGTGCTGGAGCAAGTGTTGAAAGTGACTCACTGTTTGCTACTTTTTTAGGCATATAGTAATAGAGCTGCTTGCTATACAAAACTAGGGGCCATGCCGGAGGGTCTGAAGGATGCAGAGAAGTGCATTGAGCTTGATCCAACATTTGCCAAGGGGTATACTAGAAAAGGTGCCGTCCAGTTTTTCATGAAAGAGTACGACAAGGCGTTGGAAACATACCAGGAAGGATTGAAGCATGACCCTAAAAACCCGGAATTGCTAGATGGTATAAGGAGGTATGATAATCTAGACAAAATTTTCATAATTTTTTGCTCCTTTAACTTCTGTGTCGCTTGCTATCGCTTGCTATGCTGTTTTCAATTTGCATGATCAGAGGGTTGTCAAATTTAATTTTCCAGATGTGTTGAACAAAATAACAAGGCTAGCCGTGGGGATCTAAGCCCTGAGGAACTGAAGGAGAGACAGGTACTGCCTTATTGAACTCTTTTTTAGGTCCTTTTGTTGAAAGCAATTTGGAACATGGTTGTAACTTGAACCTATATTTTGCAGGCTAAGGGGATGCAGGATCCTGAAATTCAGAATATCCTAACAGATCCTGTTATGAGACAGGTATTGACAAACCAGGATCTTCATATATATATGTGTGTGTGTGTAAGGGAGGATCTGTTAAGGGTTTGTTTGCATAATTAAAAAAAAATTTCCTTAAATTTCTGTCTAAAACTGATTGGTTTATTTTCAGGTGTTGACGGACTTCCAGGAGAATCCCAAGGCTGCACAGGAGCATACTAAGAACCCTCTGGTGATGAACAAGATCCAGAAGCTGGTTAATGCAGGGATTGTTCAGATCAAATGAAGATGTTAGTTGCAACTAATTGGACATAAAAAGCCCTCCATTAAATGTCTTTCCAGTGTGTTTCAGTGGATTAATTGTTAAAAACTAGTTTGCACTTGAAAATTTTGATTTCTGGAAAGTTTCTTATTTATATATCGGTCTTATGAGGGGTTTTTTTTTTTTTTTTTTTTTTTTTTTTTTTTTGGCTGATGGTTGGTTTCTGATGGTCAATTCAAATATCATGATTATGTTGCTATTTATTCTAGGACAATTTACTAACAGGGGGATGATTTACCAGCAGGGGTTTTGTTTTCCCTTCTTGTCTTTCTAGCATGATTGGTACTTGAAATAATGCCGTAAATTGGTGTCTGACAAGGATTTCTCTACGGCTTATGAACACTCAGAAAAAGTGTCTAGAAAGGTAAAGTTGAGGTGTCATGATTAATTTTGATGAGTGCCAGTAATCCATCTTAAATGCCTTTGGGATGCACAAATGCCTTTTCCTCTATGTCTTTATTAGTTTTTTAGATAGTCTTTTCAACTTTAATCTCCAAATTTTGAAATCGTAGTCCCCTCCAAAAAAGGGGAGGACACAATATCTTCTCATCTCATCCATCAATTTTTGTCTCTCTTCCACTCAATTTTTATTCTTACTAGTATTAGGTGAGCAAATGTGTTTCACTTCTTTTGGAACTTCTCAACACCCTATATATATATATATAGTATTTGCTTCTTAGCTTCTAGAAAAACAAAAACATACTTCAGCTATCCATCTATTTTCGAAACTCTTACTTTTCAATTTGAAAAGTAGAGGAGATGCCTTCCTGCTGTCCGCTGCCTCGACCACCAGATTGAAGGTTTGCAGACCTCTGGTCTGGTTGGTTGCCGTTAGGGCTCCAGATATGTCTCTAATATCCTTGTTTAACAGCTAATTTTAGTTTGTTAACCTAGGCTATTAGTTAGGTTGGGCTCCTGGGCTTTTGTATATTCTTACTCATCGATACATTTGCTTAAACAATAATAAAGGAGATACCATTAGGAGGCCTCCATTATAGTTACAAGGATTATCTAAGACATCCCTTTTAATTTAATCACTTCTCTCTAAAATAGACTCCTTACTACTAAAAAAATGAACTGCCAATCTATAACATGATAGCTCTAGGAACAATGGTTTTTTATTCTTCTTGAAATTAGGCACTCAATAAGAACACACATTGTGTGTGCCCACCCATATATATTGTTAAGCTTTCACTTTTACTGATAAATTTATATACATGTTTATATAAGTTTGTTTGTGTGTGTATATTTGTAGATACTCTTATGCATAGTTGCTTATATCAACATATTATACTCAAGACTAATACAAAATGCTTATATTTGCAGTTAAGTTATGCATTTCTAAGAATTGTTGAATTATTTTTAGAATTTTAGCCAAGCACCACAACATAAGAAAGATAACTACAGTAATTTTTTCATGCAATATAATTTTACATAAAAAAAGCCTCTTTGTTTGTTTTAATGTATAAAGATTAAATTTTTAAATAAAAATGAGAATTTTGAATTAAATTTTTGAACAAAAATGAAAATTTTGAATTAAACTTAACAGAGTTCCAACTCAATTTGGGGTTGTCTTTTTGCTGACATCTCCACTCAGCTGCATTAAGAGTTAACCGGTCCATTTCACAATTAGTAAGAGTTAACCAGTCCATTTCACACTGCTTCAAAACCTTTTCTATAAAGTTGACTTGAATTACACCTTTTTGGGTTTGGTACAAAAAGAATTGGCTTGTTGGACACTGACATTAAGTTTACAAAAAGACGAAGGCGCTTCTTTGTATTGGATGCTTGACCGATGGGAAGAAAATTAAGCAGCAATTGCTTCTTCTTTCGCAGCGAGCTGGTTCTGGATGTGTTGAGGGACAACATCAAACTTGGCTAACTGCATGGTGTAGGAAGCTCGGCCTTTTGTCATTCCCCGGAGTGTACTGACATATTGAAACATTTCAGCTAGCGGAACCAAGGAATCAACCACCTGCATTAATCACAAATAAATCTGTTAGATGAAAGCTAAGACACAAACAGAGACTGACTAGGCGCTGCTGCTTCAGTCTTGATAATAGGTCTAGAGATGGCAACTGCATATGCATCCTATAACCGTATCCTAGAATAGTTCTGCATTTACCGGTGACAAATGGACAATGGACTATAATACTATACTTGAAAACTCCATGTATGGTAAGAAAGGTAGTTTGGTCCAAATATAGAGTAAAAAAACTGGTGATGAAAGGAGTTCAAGGAGTTTCCAAGAGATTTTCTCTATAACCATATTGATGGCACAACAGTCTTCCAAGAGGCATGTAAACTATAGGTCCGTAACTATGATCCTGCAATATTACCATTCCAGTAACGGTCACCTCCTTACCCAGGTGGTGAACAATATGAAGCTTGAAACATATATATATATATATATATATATATATATATATATCATTTTTTTGAAAATATGAAGCTGATTGTTCTTTTTAAAAAATGCAATGGTAGAGGTGACAGGTGAAAGTACTAGAGTTAGGCAGCATAGAACCACATATTCCACTTACCTTGAGACCACCAGGTTTGTCACCAAAGCTGTTTATCTGGCCTCTCCTTGAGTTGAGATCACCTATAACATCTCCCAAGTGCTCTTCAGGGGTAACAACTTCAACTTTCATTATGGGTTCTAGCATCTTTGGAGCAGCTTTCCTTATCCCTTCCCGAAAAGCTCCTCTGGCTGCCAGCTGGAATGCCAAGACACTTGAATCGACATCATGGTAAGAACCATCTACTAGTACGGCACGAACATCAACAACAGGAAAGCCTGCAAGCACTCCATTACTCATGCACTCCTCTAATCCTTTCATTACCCCTGGAATATATTCTCTTGGCACAGCACCTCCCTTGATTTCACTCTTGAACTCATACCCGCCACCTGATTCCATGGGCTCAAACCTTACTGTGATATCAGCAAACTGTCCCTGTCCACCTGACTGTTTCTTGTGAACATATTTCACTTCTGAAACTCTTGAAATGCTTTCACGGTAGTTCACTTGTGGTGCACCAACATTAGCCTCAACCTGCGAGTGGCAAGCAAATCCAAGTAATGAAAATACAGATTAACAATACTTCCAAGCATTTCATTTTCTTAAAATTCTTAAGGGAATCATTTAATTTTAAAATAGAAATGGTAAAGAACATCATTTTATAAATATGGATAAAGTTACACACACACACACACACACACAACTTACAATACAATATACACATACGAATATTGACTCAATAAACTACATACATTAACGTTATCTAAGGTCAGAATATTCAGCACATTATATAAGTTCTTCTTTAAACAAAGGAAAGTCCAATTTCTTGAGCAAACAAATTCTGAACAACAGATGATTAAGTTAACCACATAAATATATTAATGTGTGTGCGCACTGAGGTATAAAACATCATAAAATGAGTAACACAAAAGCTTAAAAATTAACTAGAAAGATCAGATTGACACAAGAGTATTGTAAACCTTATATTCCCTCTTGAGTCGATCAACAATAATCTCGAGATGCAGTTCTCCCATTCCTTCAATAACTGTCTGGTTGATCTCTTCATCCCGTGAGAAGTGGAAGGATGGGTCTTCTTGAGCAAGCTTAATTAAGCCTGTCGCCATCTTATCAACATCGGCTTTAGTCTTGGGTTCAATTGCAACCTTTATTACAGGATCAGGAAAGTCCATCCGTTCAAGAACAATAGGCTTCTCAGGGTCACACAGTGTTTCTCCTGTAATGGTGTCTTTTAGACCGGCAAGGGCAACAATATCACCAGCTAGAGCAACTTTGACGTCCTCTCTACTGTTAGCATGCATTTCCAGAAGTCTACCAATTCTTTCTTTTTTTCCTTTGTTTGAGTTCAGTACATATGACCCTGCACTAAGCTTCCCTGCGTATATTCTCACAAATGTAAGGGACCCAACAAATGAATCACTCATGATCTTGAAAGCTAGCCCTGCAAATGGTTCTTCATCATTTGCACCCCTTTCAATTGTCACCTCTGGGTTCTCAGGGTCAGTTCCTTGCATTGGTGGCAAGTCAAGTGGTGAAGGCAAATAATCCACTACGGCATCAAGCAACGGCTGAACTCCCTTGTTTTTAAAAGCTGAACCACATAAAACGGGCACAAAACTGGCTGAGATAGTTCCCTTCCTAATCAATTTCCTAATAGTTTCCTCATCGGGCTCAACTCCTTCTAGGTAGCTCTCCATAACTTCATCATCCAACTCCACTATGGTCTCTATCATCTGTGCACGGTAGTCTTGAGCTAACTCTTCAAGATCAGCCGGAATATTCTCATACGCAAACTTCGCACCCAATTCTTCTCCCGACCAAACTATAGCTTGCATCTTTACAAGATCAACAACTCCTCGGAAAACATCTTCTGAACCAATTGGTATTTGAAGAACAAGTGGTTTGGCACCCAAGTTTGTAACTATCATGTCTCTCGTACGGAAAAAGTTTGCCCCAAGACGATCCATTTTGTTAACGAAACAGATTCTAGGTACCCCATATTTATCAGCTTGTCTCCACACAGTTTCAGACTGTGGTTCTACACCAGCAACACTGTCAAATAAACATATAGCACCATCCAGAACCCTGAGAGCCCGCTCCACCTCAAGCGTGAAGTCGACATGGCCAGGAGTATCAATTATGTTAATCCGATGCTTGTTCCAAAATGTGGTAGTTGCAGCAGAAGTTATGGTAATACCTCGTTCTTGTTCTTGCTCCATCCAGTCCATGGTAGCTGTTCCCTCATGCACCTCACCAATTTTATAGTTTCTACCAGTATAGTACAGAATCCGTTCAGTTGTAGTAGTCTTTCCGGCATCTATATGAGCCATGATTCCAATATTCCTATAATCAATCAACGGTACTGCACGCTTTGCCTCTGACGAGAAAAAAAAAAAAGAATTCCATGTGTTAGCATGATGGTAGAAAATTTCATGTGGACAATCACACATTATGCAATTTGAACCCTGAATTTATATTTTCAATCAAATAGCATGTTTTGTTGTTAATCATAAATTATTAGTATATTAACACTTAACATTACATCATGTGCAGCTTGAGAAATTCAAGTTTGTCATGTATGCACGTGTCTGTGACACATCAATGAGTCTTTCACATTCAGCGCAGCACTAATCAAAAAGAAAAAAAAAATGAAGTTCTCTTTACAGTCATCAAATTATACAACCAGAACCACCATGAAGCTTTAAGGTAGCATGGGACAAAATTCTAATACTCTACTATGTAAAACTGGTGAGATTCATGAGCCTGATAGACACAGAAAAGTTTTGAAGATTATCAAATACAGAAGGTTGAAATTTTGGACAAGGATGCAAAGTCGATTTGTTACATTATTAGACTATAACATGAAGCCATCCTTTCAAGGTGCACTCAGAAGTCTTGGGAATTGGAATATATATATATATATCAATCGTGTTATTATTAAGAACCTCAAAACAATAAATTTTGTTTCAATTAGCATTTGTAATAAGCCCATCCTCTAGTATAAAGAAAATCACTTCAAGAAATTCACAAACAACAACAACAACATTTTCCATTAATTCTTTTGACAATGAATTAACTTTTTTACAACAAAGTAATTCCAAAAGATGGGATTTTCCTCATACAGTTGCCATGCACATAAAACAAACTTGAATATTCAAATTATTTTTACTTAACAAATTAAATCATAGTCTCATAGGTTACTAAAGTCACTCTGAATATGAAGGTTGTAAATTGGGTATGAAACTGTTCAGTGAACTTAGAAACAACATTCAACAACTAAAACAAAGTAAGAAGAATCTAATTCAATATTGATCCCGTTCTCAAAAGGATCATCCGCAGAGCATAAAACATTAGCAAATTAACACACGAACAAAAGTTTAACTAAAAATTAATAAAAATCTCAATTATCAATAAAAACTTATACTTTCATTCAACGTGAATAAAAAAATTTAGCAAACAAAAACCCAGATAAAACTATTAAAAAATGTGTCAAATTTCCAATAATCTAACAAAGGGTACACCAAATCACTTCAAAAAATAACACTAAACAGTAAATTAACCAATAATACACATATACACAATATATATATATATATATATATATATATATATATATATATATCGTGTAAAGAGAGAAATACCATCAGCAGCCATGGCGAAGACACAGAAGTTTCTCCTTTGTTGCTTCTGCAAAATTGAGAGCTTGGAAGGCTCTGAGCTGAGTCGAACGCTTCCAAAGAATTCAGAGAGAGAAGATGAGGTTAGAGTGTGAGTACGACGCCGTCGGAGGGCGTTGAGACCGAGGAAGCGTCTGGGAGAGAGAGGCAATGGCCTCCGAGAGCCATTGAAATTGCAGAGCGATGAAGCTGCCGACGCAGATGACATTGTTACTGACTCTGCGGCCATTCTTGTTCTAGAATTTCTCTCCCTCTCTTCCTCTGGTGTGGCGTGTTTAGTTTAGGGATAACGAAACTGTGAGGTGTTTTGCGCCCTTGCGAGCTTTGGCTTTCGATTTCGGTTATTCTGAACCAAAGATAGCACTTATGTGGCCTACAATATCAAATTAAATATTTTACTCTAAAAAATAAAATCAAATAAATGCCACACTTGTGTATATCGCGAAATTTTACATAATAATATTAAAATTTGCAAATATTTTTAATGTAAATTTAAATGATTTGGATTAAAATTGAATGCTTCAATTAAAAACATTTCACCATAAATTGAATTTTAGTTATTTTATTTTATTTTTATAGAGATTGGCCTATAAGAAATTGGATGCTTCAGTTTCTTTTTTATTTATTCAGTTAATAATTTTATCAATTATTCGAAACTTCACCTATAATTTGTTGGAATTAAAAGTACTTAGTATTTTGAAAATGTTACAACTTGCGAGTAAATACAAGCTTAGCTCGAAAACTAATTATTTTTTATGATTCAAGTGAACAGATGGCTAAAACGTTATTATCCAACTCATTAGGTAAATTGGTTGAATTGCAGACTCTTGAATAAATATCAATTAACAATATTATTAGACTTTTTACATTACGGTAACGGAGACTCGCTTTGTTTATATTTGACTTTACTTGCTTATCAATTTTGATATTGAACTCAAGCTTAAAATGAAGAACTAAGAAGTATTAAATTATAAATTGATTAAATTAGACATGAGATTTTATCAAATTGAGGTTGAACATTCAGACATTCTCTTGCTAGAAACCTAATTGGTTATATTTATGTTTAATAGGAAAAAAAAAAAAAAAAATCATATCTACAAACAAAATTGGAGAAAATTTTGGAGTCCAAAGAACGTGTCATTCTGGCATTTAATATGTTTTTATTTATTTATTTATTTATTTTTCGAAGTGTTTATTTATTTTTTGATTTAATGCATATCGTATTTCAACTAAATTTTATAACAAAATAATAAACTATTATTCTGGGAAAAATTAATAATAAAAAAAAAATTAAATGTAATAACTTTTGGTGAATTAAGAATCAAATTAGCCTAAATAGGGATGAACATGGTGAAACCTCTAATCTATGACTAAACCGTGTATATATATATATATATATATATATATGAATGAATTTTGGTAAGTTTGAATGGTTAAAACATCTTAATTTTCCAGGAAAGTGAAAGACAAAGAAAAGTTGTAGGCTACTGGCTCCAGAGGTGCCACATATGTATGAATCCACAACCTCATAAGATGAGAAGTGGGCCTAACATTGAGCTCCTATCTGAACTAGTTTTACAGGCTAAGTGGACTTGGCGGCCCACATTGGCCCAGTTCATTTGTCTGACTCGGACTTGGCCATAATCAGGCAAGGTCTTATCCTAAATCAATTTCATAAAAAAGAGTTGGCTTTATCATCAATGTTTCGGCCTGGCTGGCTATACCACATTACCCCACTTGGCATATTTGCCAATAACTTGTCATCATCATATTACAGAAATTTTTTTTAACCAAAAAAAAAAAAAAAAATTACACAAATTTTAAAAATAAAAGGAAAAAAAACCATATAACCAACACTTCGTGTAGATGAGAGAGACATTGGATAATGGTCTGATCACCCGAATTTGGAAGTTTAAGCCCAAGAGGGTGGACTTTTTCTTTTGTTGGGTTCCCAGAAAGAATTTAGATCCAAAATTTGAAGTAATTGCACAATTGGGGTGCAACTCGGGCTGGTTTGAAGGGTCAACCCTAGGTTGGATGAACCTCGCCCTAGTAACCCCTAGTTTGATCAATAGTGAGATGAAAATGAGGAGAAGATCAAACTACTTAGTAGATAAATGCTAGGTTTGTCTATGAATTCTGAAGTTGTTATATAACATAAGAATAACACATTAGAAATATTTTACCCTAGTTGTTTAATTAAAATCAATAATTAAGATTTAATACTAATAATGTTCTAAGGATATAGAAGGAAGTACCTACTATTGATCATATTCTAATGTTATAAACTTCTCAACCCAAATTGAGTTCACGTTAAAAACCTCTCAACCTAAATGCTACTTGATCGAATGGGATTGGTTTAACCAATTTGAGCTCAAACACAATCCGAATACTCAAAATCCTAGTCCAAGTTGGTTCTTAACTCAGGCAAGTCTCCAATTAAGTCAGATTGAGCCCGCCCAACTTACACCCCCACGCTGCACTAACTATGGTTCCTCATAAATATAAGCCTTTTAGTGCTATTTTTATTGGACAGCAGAGTTTAACTTCCAGTTTACTAGTGGGACAAGCTTCTATTGCATTTTTTCTTGGCCACACTATTATGAAAGTCAGACTCTAGGCTTTGTTTGTTTGGATGTAAAATATGTTTTAAAAAATATTTTTTTACTGATATTTGATTGTCGTAAAATATTTACGAAAAAAAAAAATTAAAATTTAACAAAAATAACTTATTTATCAATTTTTGAAAAGTTATTTTATATGTCCCGCTCGATAGACTCGATCTCAAACTCGACGTAGATCTTTATCAAATACCGACAAAGTAAAAATAAATAAATATTTTATATCGAAAAAAGAAAAATATGCATGTATTTTTATAGGCAGAGAAGGTTCTCTAAGTTGATACCGAACGACTTCACTTACCTAAAACACAATGTGTTGTAGGCAAACGATCACCATCACTAAATATCAGTATTAAATGACTGACACACCAAATATCAGTATTAAATGACTCACGCACACAGAGAGAGAAATGGTATGTCACATTTGTTAAGGTTCCAAAAATGGCGTTGGAAAGAGATAGTTGATTAGACCAATTGTATCATTATCATAGGAATTAAGATCTTTTCACAATATTATTCCGAGGTGTAGTCTTCATCAAATTTACTTTACAATTTGTATAGTTTTGTCACTTGGATCTAGTGATTCCACAAAGTGATAAAATTTAAAGTATAAAAATGATATTGTTTTGACAAGCAAGAAGTAATTAATGTGAGGCTTTTGATGCTTTTAAATTTGGTGAGAATTTAGTTAGGAGGCAAGGATGAAGAATGGTTTAATTTAGATTTAAATGGGGTTGAAATTGATGAAAACATGATGAGTTGAGAGTGTAGGCAGTGGTTGGCAATTATGCAACTAGAGGGGGCATCAAAAGCTATGTTCAATCTTTTTTCATGGGGTCTACCGTTTGCACCTTCATTTCCGGCGTTAATTATTACACATAATTTGCATTATTATGTGTATTTTTTAATTAATATTTTAGAGAACTCAGATGATGTATCAATAAAATAATAAGTAAAGCTATAAAATATGCTATATATATATATATATATATATAAACAATTACATAATCGTAACTTGTAAATGGGACATTGGAACCTCCCTAAGTTCAGCAGGTCTCGGTGAAACACAAGAAGACTCCAATATATAACTTTAAAGATCTCCAAGGACAGAGTCAGATAGACAATCACCAAATCGGATGTCATAAAAGATAGGAGTCATTTTTAGACTTGCACCTAGCATCAATGAAACAATATAATATTGTTGATACTTATACATATAAAGATTTTACCATTAACTTCATTCACAATTATTTTTTTATTTTTTTTTATTTGGTAAATATAGAATTGAAATATCACAAAAAATTATAATTTAGTAATTCTTTCTTATTTTTTTAGAGTAGAAAGGTTGAAAGCTCAACTCCCTAAATATATAAAATGAGTATACACATGCATAATTGTCGTACAATAACATGTCGAAATGATGTACATGTTCAACATTTGTCATGTGTCTCACATTATTCACACACACATATATACACTAATAATAATAATAGATAGACTCATATTTGACCAAGTATATTGCTTGTATGATTTTATTAATTTGTACATTGAATTAAAGTACTCTAGTCATAAGTTTTTCTTATATAGGCTCTTATATGCAAAGAAATGTATATTTCAAATGTGCAAGTATATATTGAAATTTAGTATTTGAATTTGTGCAATAATTACAGATTTTGAAGGAATCATAATTACAATTCCTTACAACTTGAACGTTGAAAAATTATAATTGACAGTAGAAAATAAGAACATCTGACTGATCCAAAGCACTGCGACAAACAAATATTTGAAAAGTAAATGGTAAAATCCAGATAAAATCTGGAAAACATTCTTACTTAAGTTGACTTGGTATGAAGTGACGCATAGTAGTTGATAAGAGCCAAGGCATTGCTAGTCAATTGTGCAACACTCACAAGACGGCCACGGACGGTGGCTTTGACACTCCCGTTCATGGCTTTTCCGGCGAAGCCTTCCATACACGTGTCCTCATTCGTTAAGGCCGCGCTAACCCATGTCTGTATGTCATTCATTTTAAGCCCAAAATTTTTGCCACGAAGCTGACCCATCTCTTCCATGGAGTTCTGGAGTTCCTCCACTGCATCGGTCAGCTCCTCTACACAGTCACTGATGGCCGCAGCTTCTCTGGGCTTCAAGTGGTGGGTCTTGGACACCTTAGCCAGCACTGATGGGGTTGATCGGACTGCTTCAAGTGTCACAGAAAGTGCGGTGTTGGCTAAGAGTTTGGGGCTTGTTTGGATTCGACTTGCATAGCTTGAGAGAGAGCTATAGCAGAGTTGAGGATAGATTGTGGTACTGCACGAGGATTTGATGAATTTTGTGTTTTTTTCAATTGGCCTCATTGCAATGGATGAGTTCATGTAGGTAACGAGGAGAAGAAATATGAGAATTGATGTTAGTGTAGAATTGGAAATATATGAATTTTCCATCTCTCTCTCTCACACACACGGATTGGAAAGGGGAGCTAAAGAGTTAGATGCATTCAGCAAATGAATGCTAATTTATAGAAAAAGGGTCGATCTTAATTTGTGGTTCCCACTTGACAATTCACATACACATGCACATAAAAGATAGTAAAAGAACAGAAGCACAAAAGTCATGCCAAGCTATTTGATTACAACCAAAGATTGAGGCCAACAAAAACGGTTATTAAATATATCATGGCAAGAACTCCAATGATGTATAATCTAATGGTAAGACACTTGTCTCATATTTTGAATTTTCTTAAGTAATGATTAACCTTATATATCTAATCCTTTTCGGATTCTACAGTGGCGAGAGTTCATGCACTTTGCTCCATTATAAATGCGGTGACCTATGTGGGCTAATGCGAGACATTGGTAGACTATCACACTGGACGAGTTACAAATGCACAATCCCACAATGTCTGGGTGTGGAAAAGATAAACACTATATGTAGATTCAACACTTTTTTATAACACAACGTGAAATTAAACGGGCTTACTCTGAAGAAGTAGCGGGATAGATGACATCATTGAAAGTCTTTAGTTTGAGCGAGCCAAAAATATGAATCCATCAAAACTCCAAACTTATGCGTGTTTACTTTAGAGTAGTACCAGGACGGATGACCCCCTAGGAAGTCTCGGGTTTAGGGGAGTTAAAAGTGTTTTAAAGCCGTGAACCCATCAGAACTTCAGAACTAAGCCTGCTTACTCTGGGTGACCCCCTAGAAAGTTTTTGGTTTGGGAGAGTAAAAAACGGACAATATTAAATCTGGATAAGGTGTGGGTTGTTACAATAACCTAAAGGTCACAAACCCTCTTAGTATGCAAGTGTAAGATTACGTACATCTAATCCTTCGATCTCCTTAAACCTCAAAACCAAAACTCTAATAAAACATTCCAATTAATACTCGTTTGCCCTCCTCCTTGAACCTCAAAACCAAAAGCTAATACAACATTCCAATATGAAATTACAATAAAACTTAACTTAAAAAAAAAAAAAAAAATCCAAACCGTTTCTCCTCTTTTCCACTTGAGGTTACAATATTTTTCACTTTCGGAAATTCAAGCAAATTATAATGTGTGTGTGGGGTGCAAGGTTACATTATTGTTAGAAGGTCACTTTCAAAAAAAGGATAAAGAATGAACATTTAAGATCACATGCATTCATTGAAGCTTACGTAGTTTGTTGAACTGCACCTTCCTGAACTTCCTGAATGAGGAACTCTTTTTTCCGGTAAATAAGTAAATTTGTATAAATTAATGTTTAGATATAGTTGTGAAGAGTTATAAAGAGAGGCTGGAGGGACCCAACCAAATTAAGGAACCCTTACAGCGGGAACTAGCAAAACAGAGAACCGCCAAACAAAGATGATATGTAATTATAGAGACACATCTTAGACACTCACTCAGTCTTAATTTTGGTGGTTCTCTGTTTAATTTTAGACATTACAAATTATATAAGATGATAAAAGCACATTACAAATTAATGGTGTTATTTAGTTAGGTATTGGTTGAATGTGTATGTGTTTTACCAAGATAGGATCTGAAACCATCGGATTTGAAAGTATATAGCTTGGCCTTCAAATTCACATAATTAATTCTCTATTATGAGTAATTTACTACTTAGTAGGATGAGAATGATAAGTTACCAAATGTGACATCTGTACGTACGCATTTAAGGTGATAAAAGCCACCTTTGACCTTACCGTAGTACCCTTCTGGTGCTGCTATACAATTCTTCTCTTTAATTTCAACTTTCATAAATATACGCACCCTCATGCAACTATTATTTCAGACACCACATTTTGATATTGATTTGGCAACTTATCAAGATAGAGCTTGAAATTTGTATTCCTCTTGATTCAATCTACGTACTTGACCTCTCAACAAACTCTTGATACGAGAGAAGCTTTTTCTTATCAACGTTTATGAATGATATATATGCTATAAGTGAGACTAAGTTTCAATTCCTTCATGCATTCAATTTACTTAAAAAAAAATAATAAAAAAATAAAATAAAAAAATCACACACACACACACACAAACACAAACAAGCAAAGTTTCCCTCATTTTAGTGATTTATATATATATATATTTTCCCTTCATAATTTTTACCCTGTTTATGTGTAATGTCTTTGTTCTTGACTTCTTGTGCTCATTTAATGAAACAATGGTGAGATCTACCGCATGCCTAAATCTTGCTACTCCATATCAGGTCAAGTCCTTTCATGGTTTCATTTTCTTTGTTCCTAAATCTTGGAGAATAAAGCTTGTGGCTATGACTTGTGGGAGGGAATAGTGGCTTAAAAGAACTAGAAATTTTTAGATTGTTTTTAGACCTAATTTAGTACGCATGAATGAAAAATTGAATAGAATGGAATGAAACTGTGAATGAATTAAGAATGAGAATGAAATGAAATGATCATTTTCATTCTCTTATTGAATTAGACCATCAAATGATTTGTGGTTCAGAATAATTTAATAATTTCAGAAATAAAAATTTTTAGGGAACAATTCTCTCAAAGTGGTTACAGATATATCATATATGTGGGTTGGGATAGACTTGGCATATTCTTGTGATAAATTCATAATTGGTTCCGATAGAAATGTCAACAAAGAATAGAGCTTGCATGTGATTGGCATGAATGCATAATTATGAAAGCCAAGAGACATTAATTGGCAAGTTTGATAATCAATTTGTTTTGAGTTGTAATTGTAATCTTACATGAAATATTGTTACTGTCAACGTCGGTTTCAAAGTGGTTTTTTTTTTTTCTTTTTTTTTTTTTTAACACCAAGCAAACCAACTAGATACAAGAACGAAAATGAATACAATCTAGGAGAAGAGCATCTAACAATCACTGGAGCCATATGCCCCACTCGACATCGCCGCATTCGGCTACAAGGGCATGCTTGCCCAGTAAATGAGTCAGGGCCGGCCCTGAGATTGAAAAAATCTCAAGAGGTCCTAGGCAGACTTAAAATGTGAGACCTTCTATACATAAGTTTCACATGCACAAATTTTTTATTTTATAAAAGTGCAATTTTTTTTTTTTTGAGGCTCTTTTTTGCTGCATTTGGTTAGACTTTTTCTTTTTTTTTTTTGGTAGCCCATCATTCTTGAGTCTCTTTGCTTGGTTATAAATGTTTTTTTTTTTGGTGGCCCAACATTCATGGGCCTATAAATTTAGATTTGCTGCATTTGGTCATATATATAAATTTTTTTGTGACCCATCATACATGGGCCTATAAATTTGGAGGCCCCTTATATTCTGAAGCCCTAGACGACCGCCTTGGTCGCCTTGGGCCAAGGCCGGCCCTGAAATGAGCAACAAAGTTACCCTTCCGGGGAACCCAAGAAAAGGAAGAATCCCCACAGACCTTAAGAAGAGACATAACATCTTTGAAAATAACAAACAAGCCTTCCACTGACGGCTGCAAAGCCTTTCAAGTGGTTGACATAGATGTCATCCAAGTTGCATGATATATAAAATGGATGGCATCACTCTTTTCTTTCCTCTTCCTCTCTTTTATCTTTTATCACTTATCAGTACGTGTTTTGGTTGAGTTTTCATGATTTCAACTTCTAGCAAAGAGCTGATTTTTATCCTTTTTGGTACCAGTGTAAATTTTTATATATGTATATTTTTTCTCAGTACTCTTTCTCACTTTTTCAGATCTCTGTTGGAAAAAAAAAGTATACCATTGTCAAAAATGTATCCTTATTGACCCAAAACTTGCACTCTTTTTCTATTAAAAAAATAATAATAATTTGAACATCGGATCAAAACTAAATTTGTTTTCATTTTTTTCTTTCTATCAATGTGAACATCTTATAAAAACTAATCAATGAACCAATTTTATATGACAAGAAAAAATAAAAAAGACTATTCAATTTATTTTAACGAAAAAAAAAAAAAAAGTCTGAGGGCTGTGCTGTAAAATATGGAGCAAATTAAAAAGAATTAAAGAGAGGGAGGATGAAACTCAGAAGATACATAGCAAAGAAAGAAAGAAAGAAAGAAAGAATAAGATAGAAAAATACGGGGGGATAAGATACTATTAATATGTGTGATATAGGGTTACTTTTGTCATTTTCTTTATCAGATATTAAAAAGTGAAGTGCCTTAAAACTATTTTGGAGCTGGGGAATATTGAATTAATAACATAATAAACTCTCAAACAAAAAGTAGGACTTAAAAATTAATACGACTTAAAAATTAATAGAACAAATATTTGTAAATTCAAATTCAAATAGCAAGGACCTTGTGATTCAATGGTATCTCCTCTATCTCCCAAAGTAGATGGTGAAGATTCAAATCTCCAAAGGAGTAAAGTGAGTGCATGAGTGTGGTGTGTGTGAATTTCTTGTCAATAAATAAAAAAAAATAAAAAATAAAAATTTAATTCAAATTCAAATTTTAATATTAAAATTCATACACGAATCCAAAATCCAAACCCTATAGATATTACTTATTAGGTATATCCAAAGCATAAAATCCAAATAAAAACCTAAAAATAATAAAAATATGGATTGAATTTCGTATTAAACTTCATACGTTTTGAGTAGGGCTGTAAACAAGCCGAGTCGAGCCGAGTAATGATGTGCTCGAGCTCGACTCGATTAGGTAATAGGCTGCTCAAGCTCGGCTCGAGCTCGAGTCGAGCCTAGAAAATTTAGTTCGAGCTCAACTCAGCTATGTTTGACGAGTTTCGAGCCGGAACTCGACATCTCGTGGGCGACGATACACAGTGACCCCAACTGTAATCAGACCTAAACACATGCCGGGAGAAAATCCCAATAGCCCGCAAGACCCATAACGCAACTCTCAGTGCTAGAAATTGGCTCAATGATGATGACCGGCAAGGAATAGCCTTGGTCACCCAAAAAGACAGAGACGGCGAGAGATGGAGCAGACGGCGGGAGATAGAACGGCCGGAAAAAAGAAGGCCGATGGTGGCACCGGTGGAGGTTGGTATATATATATATAT